ACTTAATAATACCTAGTTTTTGAAAAGTAGCATAACTAGGGTTCATTTTAATTTATAGTTAATAATTTTAAATCATCCACCGTGTGTTTTTACCAATGTAATAATTAGGTAATTATTTTACGTTCTATATGAAAATTTGTGTGACAGTAGGTACATATATGAATTTGGCTATATATTATGCACGAATTTTAGTATTTCGTAGCGTTGAGTTTAAGATATAGTGATTGACTATTGCAGGTGCAAGTGTAATTTGTGCAATATTATCGTTATTTATAGACTATAGTATATTAGTTTATTAGAGACTAATTATTATTCATCAATTATTATAAACAAGATTATTTTACCAAATTGATTATTTTAGATACTGATCCAATGTCTAATATAAAGGTTTAGATAGAGCGAAATACGATCAGGAAAATGAACTTAAAATTAGGAAACGCAATGGAAAATATCGTACCTTCATCATTCCGTAATTATGACGGCAGTGTAGGTAGTGTGCAAGCACTACGTAGTATGTACTACCTCGCGCCAAATACATTTCCATTGAATCGCGGTAAAAAAAGTCCTAGACATAAAAAGTCCAAGGTAAGAAAGTACGGTATATATATGTAACAATATTTAAAATAATACATTTAAAAAAAAAATCCAATGATTATAATTAAGTAGGTACTTATAGTATCATTACCAATTACTATCATATACGTAATGTCCTAAACTGTAACATTATAAAGATTTCTCAGTTTAATTGTATTAACTATCTAGTATTCTAGTTAACTAATCTTACAACGAAAATTCCGGTTTATACGTATATGTATAAACGTATGTATTTACGTATATGTAAAATTGTAAAATAATATATTTAACCAATATATTTTGTGAATACTTTGCTGTTATTGGTACTTACATGATTATTTATAAATTTCATCGTGTAAATAATTTAGTTACGATTGATATTAATACTAATTGGAACTTTGATTGAGCATCACATCCATCACATTTTTCCTTTTACCTACCTTATTATATGTACCTAGGTAACGGACTTTTTCACTCGGACGTTTTAGTAGTATACCATCTTCATGGCACCCATACTTTTTAATTTTGAAACCAAACCCGGGGCTTTCGATTGTTCTTCGTTTGTTCTTAACATTTTGTTTTTTTTCCATACCTATAGCCGATTTATGGTAGTATATACAATTTTATTTTTGCCAAAAAAATCTGTTTTGCAGAATGCAGTGTTAAGCTATTGCAGCTTGACAATTGAATAAAATATACATATAGGCAAATAATAGTACATCTCTATGTAGGTATAAAAAGATAATGTGACTGACTGCCTGACAGATTTATCAACGCACAGTATAAAACACTGGACGGATCAGACTGAAATTTGGTATGCAGATAACTATTATGGCATAATTTTAGAAAAAACTAAGTATTAAGTGAGCAATGTTCGCATATTATACTGCCTACATTTAGGTGGCTAAATTGAATTTACGGTTGCTCACCGTCGTGTCCGGCGTGTCCGCAATTCACTGCTGTTGGATTGCCTACCTGATATACTTCTTGCATATTTTCCGCGGATTGCCTTTCTAAAGTTTACATAAATGTAGTGTTTGAAGTCTGAATATTTCACAAAAGCGTGAAACATTAGCAAACTTTGTTTTTTCCTCAGGAACCGGCTCATCTTCGACAATGATGCAATAATGTTTCTATTTGTGTAACTAAATATAAACTAATACCTATAATTATATAACAAATTATTATTACAAGTCTGTTTATAACACGCAGATGACGATCGATATTTTCTTTTCAACAAGTAACATGGTGCTTTTATATTGGGTGGCTTATCTTCATTTATCATAAAATTATTTCTTGTATAGTGTATTAGTTAGTGTGAAGTGTATAAGTATAACTGTATACAAATTTAATATTTACTAAATACCTACTAAAATATAATATCATGATTCAATATTCATTTGTGTTTATCTAATATATAGAATTTGGGCAACATGGGTAAACATAAGGCAAAAATTCACAGTTTTTTGAGAATTTAATGGAAAAACACATTAAACCTTTATTACACGAAAGAAAACAATAACTAATGAAAAATGGATGTAAAAATAAAAAAAACATTAATATAATATTTCATCTAACATTTCAAAATCTTATATTTCATGACAATTTTAAACACTATATATAAACGTATATGAATGACTAAAATGTACTTAAATCAATTTTCACTAGAGATGAATGCCTTGCTAAACACTCAAGACCAGTTTTTACTCATAAAAAGCAACGGGTATGAGACACCACAAAAAGCATTCAATCTACCGTAGAAATATTGCATAATAAACAATTAAAAAATAAAACAAATCTTCGCCCGGCAGTGGGGGAGGCAGCTATAGTAACTTATAAATAGCTTATATCAGCGGTTCTTAACCTGTGGTCCGCGGCCCCCTGGGGGTCCGCAATACTCATGTCGGGGGTCCGCGGCAGCCTTACCACCTAAGACCTAACATAAGTTAATACGTGACATAAGTGCATTATTACAATATTTTTGGATTATTATTTTTGTTTCATATACAATTATAATCTTATATAAATGTGTATATTTTGTTATGTCTACTTCTATAACTTGTAATATAAAATAGTTATTATAATTTTGGTTATGATAACTTGATATGTTTTGTAAAAAAAGGTATTCGACAAAAAATTGGTAAGGAGGGGGGTCCGTGATTTATAAAAATTATTCATCGGGGGTCCGTGTTCTACAAAAGGTTAAGAACCGCCGGCTTATATGATTATAGCGACTATAATTTAATAAGTTTGAGATTATTTGTACAATAACAAAATACCTATATAAATATAATATGATGAATAGTAAGATAATGAGTGAAGTATTAAATACGGAAATAATTATTGATGTAAAACCTCGGTTAGGAAGAAAAATGAAAATTAGTGGACCAATTATAGAATTTAAATAAGAAAAAAATTTGCTATATCATAGACGATTTCTAGGGAAGAATTTTTAGTAGTATACAACGGCTTCAGCATAGGATTTGTCTTTTTCAGTTGAAATACATATTAATATAATATAGCTTATAACACATATATATATATTATTGTACCTACTCACATTTATATTTTATAATAATATATACTGCAGTACTGCAGTAGGTACCTACCTAACTTTATACAATAGTAACATGTGTTAACTTATAACTCATAACAATGTAACAATATAATGTATACTGTGCACAATTTTCTTTTCCCACCACCCGCTGCTTTAAACCGAATAATATAATAAATATAACGACACATATATAATATTATATGTATGAAATAATAAAGCGCTCACATCTACACTCAAACGTCAAATGTATACATTTTTTTTACAACTATATGGTTATTAATATTATAACAGCCTGACCTCTGACATTCGTGAGAATGAAAAATATGTGTTCTTCTGATTTCCGGATTAGTGATATACATTATATTATTATGTACAACTCATATAGAAATATTCAAGTATGCCACACAAGTATCAAGTGAATAGGCCCGGATTAGGTAAATTCCATTCCACCAAAAGGAGCTACAGACCACAGTCATGTATAGGTTAGGTTATTGTTATTGCACCACGGGATTTTTTTTAAAAGAATTCATAGGTCAAAATATTCACAAGAAAAATATCTAATGTAAAATATCAACGGGAAAAATATCCAAATTTAAAAGTACAGAGGAAGCGTTTTTATAAATAAACATAGCCATTTTGAAACTTCGTTATATACTCAAATAATCTCTATATTAATATAAAATAAAATATAAGTTAAAATGTAAAATATTTAAAGAGATTTTATTTTCATTTGTAGATTTGTTAAATATACAATTATTTTTTATTACGAGTATTCTTAAAAAAAAATTACAAACAACAATGTTTTACATACTTTTTTACATTTTGTACCTTGTACTTTGTGTCTTTGTACATATGAAAATAGAAAAACAATTCAATAAATTAATATAAATAACATATTAAATTAAATTAATTATAAGTTATTATAAAATGAGTAGTTTTTTTGAAACTTTTAGTTTATTTAAACATGTATGGGAAATGATAATATAAATATTTGGTCAAAATGTCTAGTTCTGAGGTTATTATTAGTTTTTGAGTTGTACCCGAAAAATTGATTTTTTTCAAAAATTAGTTTTGCGTAAAAATGTTCACTTTATTCATGTGATGATTTAGGACAATCAAGTTCTACAATCGCGATGTGTCACGTCCGTATATAGGTCGATATTACCGCAGTATTCTGGGTATGAGATATCAAATATTAGTTTTTTTCTTTTAGAAATAATTTTCTAATCAAGTTCTAATATGATATACCTAGAAATCATATCTAATTAAATATAATCACCCGATTAAAATGTAGGTAGGTACCATATAAAGTGTTAAATACAAAGTCCCTATAATAGGTGTGAAATGTGAATACATATATATAACATAGATATCAATTGAGTGCGTTTGTTTGGATCATGGTACGGTTAACGACGGATAAAAAAACAAATGTTTGAGCATAATATTATATCTGTCTACTGTAACGATTTCTGCCAGATCGTTTGACGGCCGGACGATCGGTCACGAAAACGGAAGCGCCCGATCGTTTATCAACGGCACGGCGACGGTCCGCTACCGGTCACGAGCGCGTAGTGACAGTAGCACCGACATCTGTAGATAACACGATGACGATGCCGCCGCCGCCGCCGCAATATAATAATTATGCATCGCATTTTACACTGCTAACGGTTTTTATCTGCGGTCGGACCACATTGCCACTATCAGACGCCAGGCGAGCATGAGCCACGCGCGCCAATCTAACTGATAACAACTCGCGCCCCGGCCGCCCCGCCGACGACACTCACTTCAGCCGCCGGCCGCCGCTGTGGGGGCGACGACAACAGCTGCTGCTGCTGCCCGCCGCCGCCGCCGCCGATTCAGTTCGGTCGCCGTGCTCCCGCCGCACCGCGCACTCGTCGCAACGTCGTCGCGCGCACACCACGTCCACTGCCACTGGTGCATCGGCTGTTCGGCTCAGCGCGCGCGTTTCCAGTTTCCAGGCGGCCGCCGGTTTATTTCTCCCTCGTCGTTTTCTCGTCGCGGGGTTCAGTCTCGCGCCGTTCTCAGTCCGTGTGCCGTCGTCCCAGCTCCCGTACGCCCGGCGTGCGCGTTTCGATCCGATTTGAATTTTTTTTTCTGGACATTTAGGTTTGGCTACGTGGAGACAAATTTATTAAAATAAACAAAAATACTCTGTAGTGTAGAACAATTTTTACTTCGACCTTCGGCGTCACGTTCGATTCGTAACCGCAATGTACGTAGCACTAGCCAAGTTCACTGTGCACACACACAGTTAAAACTCCTTACCGTTTGGTTAGTTGTTTTTAGTTTTTAAATTTTTTTCCCAATCTTTGAATAGTTCATTGCACCCGTTTGTGACCCGCTCAAACCGATTGCAACGATGGTTGCAAGCAGCCCGAAAAGAACGTTAGCGTTTATTGTGTTGTTGGTGTTGTGCGATGGATTAATCGTGTCGGCATCGTACGGCGGTTCGTTTGTAAGTTTGGTGGAAGTCGTCAACCACACAAAGTTCACACAGGATGACACCAAAGATTTGTACGTCAATTTGACAGTTGGCATGTTTGGACAAGGACTCAATGAAAACATAAAAATCAGGCCCACCTCTAGACTTGCTTTACGTGGTTCTGAGTGTTATAAAAACCATCCGATGAAGAACATTGATTCTGACAACCATATATTCAAACAGGTAAGCTTACTCTTATAATCACTGTTAGGTGTGTAATATGTATTAAAGGAAAGTCAAAGGAAAGCTTTAACCAAGTCTTTAACATAATATTCAGTTGTAGAATAGTATTCATATAATATATTAAGTAAAATGATTCTATCAATACTTTAAAATGCTAGTAAAAATGTTAAATATGTACCCAGGTAACTATATTTTAAATTTGAGGAATTGCTCCATAACCTTTAGAGACTTTCTGCTGATTGCAGATTGCAGATATTATACATTTTTTTACTTATAGTCTCAGGTTGTTAGATAGATACTTAGTAGGAATATCAGTGGGTTCCTTGTAATATAAAATTAGACTTAAAATTTTTATTTGACCAGGTAGGTACCTATTCATAATTTATTAGTAAGGAAAAAAACTTATTGTTTTTAGTCTATAGCTTCAGATATCTATGCAATATTAATAATTTACATTTTACTTACTCAGTATGAATAACCTATTCTCGACCATGTAAAGGTGCCTTTATACTTATTTAATTTTTAGTTAAGGTTTTTAATCATAAGAAAAAATCCTATTTTTTGAAATTAAGTCTTTTATAGGTATGCAATAATAGGTATTTCAAAACATATTATTTACCAAAGTATGTAGATGTTGTAAAAATTATTTAGGTAGGTAGGTATCTAATACGCTTTTGAACTCAAGTATTAGAATAAACTTTAGAGTAAATATAATAGGTACAATGTATAATACCTAAGTACTAAGTACCTAACATTAGGTTAAGTCACAGAATCCGAGCTTATAAAATCATGTATGTACTATAGATGAGGTTTTATGACACTGTTGTATCTGTTGTATAGGTAGTCAGAGTCTTTATAATAATTGTATTAAAAGTTGAATTTTTTATGTTTATGCTAGAGTTTTTGTTTATAAAAATGTACTACAGTTAATTTTTCATTGAACATATATTTCATAAAATGTATTGTTAAACATTTAAACTGAGATTTAAACAAACTGTTTATTGTTAAAATTAACCAGAATGAAAATATAAGTAATAAATAACTCAGTTAGGAAGTGAATGTTCAAGAAATAACACATTACTAATTAAATCTATGATAACCGAAATATAATAATAATAACATAAAAAAATATATTAGGTATGTAAGTAGATATTGTAATTACTCAAATTATGGTGCAGATGGTCATTTTGGTGTTTTATTTAAGCAATATATTTAGTGGCCACTGGGTACAAATACCTCCCTTAAAATTAATTTTATTGATATTTTTTGTATATTGTCTGTGAGTACTTCCTTAAATTGTTTCATTAACTTACTTCATACTTATACATGAGTACAAACATTTGGTAGGGTTATTCCGGGTTATTCTTTACACTATACTTATAATACATTATAATATATTATGTTATTACTCCTTTGATTGTACATAATAAAGTAATTGAATACATATTTTAACGTAATACTTATGTATAGGTACTGTAATCATATGAAACCACTTTTTATATTTTATGTGAAATTCTTAAAAACCTAACTATATGTATCTTACTCGATGATTTTGTATAGATTCGAGAATAGAATATATTTTAGCAAAACTATTAAGAATTAAATTATGGGTAGATTTTTGCTTAAAGTATATAATATATTTATAAAATTTAATATTAGGTATAGCTTGTTGATATTTATGCATTCAGGAGTTGATACTTGGTGTATAGATACACCTACCAACCTACTTAATAAAAAATCCTATTCTTGTTTCATCGGTAGGTAGTATAAGCGTGTGCTAGAAATTTGCATAACCTACGGACTTGAAGAAAATCATTTTTATAGATGACATATGAACAGTCTCAAACAGGTCTCAAAATTACACATCTTGGGGGGGGGGGGGCAGAAATAAAATATATAGGTATACAATCAATGTTTACGGCTTAATTATGCGACAAGAATTATGAAATACCTATATCCTTTTTAATAAACACTTTATATAATAATAAATGTTTTTATTTTTAAGAAGAAGCGCCCGATAATAATAAAAATCACGATAATAATGGTAATAATAAAAAAAAGTTAAAGCTTTGGTATAAGTATTTACTTAGGGGCATTTAAATTTTTGGGCAGCACATTTTATTTGATGCACAACCTACTACAAAAGTCTGTGTATGCCTAAACAAATGAAAGTTAAATTGTAGTAAATTCTGTAATTTTTGTTCAATTTTACTTTTTATACTCTTCAAGTAGTTCTTATCATTGTAAAACTTGTTATTTCTTTGCTTCGTTCATAACGTATTCTTAAGAAGAATAATATATTTTAATTATCAGTGCTGTACACGCTTGGTACATCTATCAGATATACACACATTTAAAACTACAGTAGCCATATTAATTTATTTTTATTTATTAAGCAAAATAAAATGTGAATTATTAATGATTTAATAGCTAGAATCTTTTTATCAAAAAAACCTGATCTCAGATTAATACATTTTAATCTATACAGTAAACATACAAATTATGGGATGTTTATAGGCAAATTGACAGTAATAGTATAATGTTGTTGTGTTATAGGTACTACAAGTAAGTTGTTTGAGTGTTAGTAAACATTTTATGTAATTTTCAACATTATATTTTACCGTATTTTACAGTGTCAAGAATGAGGTAATGAAGTAGTAGAAGGTACTGAGTTAATTTTAGATGTTGTCCACCAACATAATTGTTCAAAATGATCATGTAGACATGTTAACCTAATTGGTAGTAATACTGTTTTTATTACCAAATGACAAATAATATTATAAAACTTTCAAGTTTCATGACTATTTGGTATCTATTACATTTTAGATAAGTATTTAAAAATTGTGTATTAAATATATCTTAGTAAAAACTCCAGTAAGAATTAAAAATTATTGTGCATACCTACTCTAAGTTATGAGTAATAGAAAAGATATCCCTATTTAAGGTAGCCTTTAATTTAGGTATAATTCAATTATAATTGTTGGAAATTACACGTGATGTCACACAAATGATACCACTGTTTCCACTTTATTATTGCTATGATAATGAATACGTAGTTTTAAAGTTTAAAATATATTAAATTATATAATAGTTGCTGGATACAACTATATAACGAATACTGTGAATTACAACTTACTAGTAGTATGACAAAGATTAAATAATATTATAGGAATTGTACGCTTATCAATGGTAATTTTAGGTGTTGCCGGTTTGTTGTCATTAATTTTAGTAATACTATAAACTAGTACTTTTTAGGAACAATTTAGTTTGTTCCTTTCATGTATTTATGAAGTAAGTATGAAGTATACTCTATTCAGATTAAGGAAGGTACCGAGTGTTCCAAAGCTTTGCCTCGCTCCAGCTTTAGTGCCAGAGGCATCTGACTGCTGCCGACAAAAACTGGTTGTCACCTGGTACTTTTCTTCTTCTGAATAGAGTGCATTTATTTAAAGCCTAATGACTTGTTCTATGAAATGTCATGTTTTATTTTAATTAAAAATAAATAAATGGGTATATTCATCAATATTTACCAAACTAACAACTAGTGTACAATAATTTGAGGTAATTGTTTTAAATTAAAATTATAGTAGACTCCTACTGTTTTATGTCGTAAATTATTTTTAAAGAACGACATATTACATCATTTATAGTTGGTTTAAACCTATAAGTACAAATAATAAATATTTATTTATAAATTTAAAATGTTACTATTATTTTACTAATTTTATTAGTTTTAAATACTGACGGTGCTAAGACTAAACCATTTATATATTAAATCTGCAACTCTAAAGTCAGATTATATAGATATGTGATACAAACATTTAGACCAAATATTAATTTAAAAAAATGATCCTCTTAAACAAATTGTTGTCATTTTTAGGGCTGATTTGTATTAGGCTAGGCAAATAATGTATTGATTTTATCTTAAAAAGTGATCAACGAAAGACTGAAGTGTCATTTTATTGTTTGCCTCTTGAAAATGTAGGTATACGGGATTAAACGTATTGGAGAGTATCATCTCGTCCTTAGGATCGGATCTAATCCTTTACAAGTATAATACACCTCGTAATACACTCATATTTAGGTACTAATGTATATTATACTTCTAATATTGAAACACCTGACAAGATAAGTTACTTTTTTAAATTAAAGTATATTTTTTTCCTACCTAATAATGATTTGTGTGTAATAAAAATCTTCATGTAGTCATGTAAGACACGTATTGATTTATTACATTGAATATTCATATTACCTTCTATTGATTATTTGTTTTGAGTTTTTAACGAATCTCTATTGTTTAATTTTCAAGAAATTGTTCAAGTTTGTAAATACTAAATATTACGTGTTTTCCCTTTTCCTTACTTCTTAATTAATTCACTGATTCATTTTTATGATTTATGACTTCTAAATCGCGTTTTTTTTATCAGAAAGTGACGAATATATACCTACTTACTTACAATCATCCATAACTATGTTGCCTTTAAACAAGCTTAAGTTATTAGTTCTTTAGTTTTCGGTAATACCTAGTATTGAAATTTATCGAAAAATTGAATGCGTTTTTAAGTGTTTAAAAAAGATGTAAATGCATTTTTACTTAATAATTTGTAAAAATATCCTCTAATATTTTCTACGGCTAATAGATAATGCCGATTACGGAATGGCATTTCTAACCATTTACTATAAGATTACTTTACACTAATTTGCTCTCGTGTCATAACTGCATGCAGTTACAGTAGATGCCATAATCGTAGCGCCACAATTACTGGAATGTAGGTATAGACAATATTATTAGATTGTCTAATACAAAACTCACTGGAATTGTGTTATAAATATATTTTACAATTGTTGTTTATGATGGCATACTGGCAACTAATAGTTTGTTTATAAATCCGTTATTACACTGGTTCGTCATCGGCCAATCGACAATATTGACAAATAGTTAAATTTGATGTTTACCGACTTTTTGTGGGATGGTTTGTCGATGAATAATTTGTCGATCG